CGAGGAGTGATTTTCGGTGCTGTAATAGGTTAGCATTTTTCGCTCGGGGCTAATTCAGAGGATAACAGAGTAGGCCTATGTTTTATTTTATTTTATTTTATTTTTTTAACAACAGTTGTATTTGGATGGAATGAATACCTATAGTGATAATTCAAAGTAATAAAATGATTTTTACAGTGAAAAAGTTCAAATGGAACCGATGGTTCCCAAATTACCCAGAGGTGAGTCCTCTTAGACTTTATTTTTCTAAATCTCTCTAAAAAGGTCAAATTTCACTTGTTTTGCATCAATCTTGATACAGGGTACTTATATGTTATAGTTTGGATTCCTAAAGCTTTTAGTCTACTAACCCATCATGCAAGGGTGGTTTTCACTATAAGTAAAGGGTTTTTTTTAGGTGGACATTAGAATTTACATATTTTTACTATGTTCCATCTGAATTTACTTTAAAATAAAAACATCTATATTGATTCTGACACTTCTACATCCAACTCACAGATGTAACCTTGCTTTGAGAAAAATAATTATTAATTTACCCCTTTTAGAAGTGAAGATATATCATTTGTTGTGTTAGTGGCATTTTCGAGCCTGAAACCTGAAAAACAGGCTCAGGGCTTAACTGGTTAAAAGCCTCCTCTGTCCTCCACTTGTTAACTGTATTAATGGCACCTGTTTTAACTCGTTATCAGTATAAAAGACACCTGTCCACAACCTCAAACAGTGACACTCCAAACTCCACTATGGCCAAGACCAAAGAGCTATCAAAGGACACCAGAAACAAAATTGTAGACCTGCACCAAGCTGGGAAGACTGAATGTGCAATAGGTAAGCAGCTTGGTGTGAAGAAATCAACTGTGGGAGCAATTATTAGAAAATGGAAGACATACAAGACCACTGATAATCTCCCTCGATCTGGGGCTCCACGCAAGATCTCACCCTGTGGGGTCAAAATGATCACAAGAACGGTGAGCAAAATCCCAGAACCACACGGGGGGACCTAGTCAATGACCTGCAGAGAGCTGGGACCAAAGTAACAAAGGCTACCATCAGTAACACACTACGCCGCCAGGGACTCAAATCCTGCAGTGCCAGACGTGTCCCCCTGCTTAAGCCAGTACATGTCCAGGCCCGTCTGAAGTTTGCTAGAGAGCATTTAGATGATCCAGAAGAGGATTGGGAGAATGTCATATGGTGAAATGAAACCAAAATAGAACTTTTTGGTAGAAACTCAACTAGACGTGTTTGGAGGAGAAAGAATGCTGAGTTGCATCCAAAGAACACCATACCTACTGTGAAACATGGGGGTGGAAACATCATGCTTTGGGGCTGTTTTTCTGCAAAGGGACCAGGACGACTGATCCGTGTAAAGGAAAGAATGAATGGGGCCATGTATCGTGAGATTTTGAGTGACAACCTCCTTCCATCAGCAAGGGCATTGAAGATGAAACGTGGCTGGGTCTTTCAGCATGACAATGATCCCAAACACACCGCCCGGGCAACGAAGGAGTGGCTTCGTAAGAAGCATTTCAAGGTCCTGGAGTGGCCTAGCCAGTCTCCAGATCTCAAACCCATAGAAAATCTTTGGAGGGAGTTGAAAGTCCGTGTTGCCCAGCGACAGCCCCAAAACATCACTGCTCTCGAGGAGATCTGCATGGAGGAATGGGCCAAAATACCAGCAACAGTGTGTGAAAACCTTGTGAAGACTTACAGAAAACGTTTGACCTCTGTCATTGCCAACAAAGGGTATATAACAAAGTATTGAGATTAACTTTTGTTATTGACCAAATACTTATTTTCCACCATAATTTGCAAATACATTTTTTAAAATCCTACAATGTGATTTCCTGGATTCTTTCCCCCCCATTTTGTCTCTCATAGTTGAAGTGTACCTAGGATGAAAATTACTGGCCTCTCTCATCTTTTTAAGTGGGAGAACTTGCACAATTGGTGGCTGACTAAATACTTTTTTGCCCCACTGTATATAATGTACAGTATGTCCTATCATATAAGTGAATGCCCTGTATTTAAATGTGTGCCAATCTGTGAGTGGGCCTTCTCCGACATTACAAGTATACATTTACATTTCAAACATCATTTTATGGGCACTTTAACTGATAAGGATTGCACACATGACTCACATCCGAGTAATATTAAACCTGGAACTAACAAAGCTTAAATTGTTGCCTATAAAAACATTATACATTAATCAGTTGCATTCCTTTCTTATGGCTCCATCCATAAAATCAATGGATCAGACATGACTTTTGAATTTTGTTTATTGTACAAATCAAAGACATATATGGACAATAATTCACCAAAAGGTGTGGCGAATATACTATAATAATAATAATAATAATAATGTGGAAACAAAAAAATAACGTGTATACAAAAAAGATATGAAGTATTTACATATAAAAATATGGTCAGCTTTTGTTGTTGGCCTCCAACATCTTCACAAGCCTGTCTACCATGCCAAGCATTGAGTGGCTGTTCTGCTCGATTCTGGTGAAAACTCGTAGGAACTCAGCATTGGCCACATGCACCTCCTGAAGCATCGCCTGGCCCTGCTCCTGAAGCCTTTCCTCCCTGTCGTCACTTTTGTCCAGATACTCCAGAAGGCCAGATGATAAATCCCGCTTCCTTTTAACTACAAAAAGGGAAAAATAAAGTCAACACCGTATTCATGGCATTTTATGAGATGTATATTATATACTGTGTAATGAAATGTTGTATTGTTCTTATGGCTGCAGTTGTATAACTTGAACAACTACTACAATGACTATGCCATGATAACTGCACATGGCAGTGGTGGTTCGGACACAGTACACTCCAAACCAGATATTTCTGTAAACACAATGAATCATAACTCGTTAGTGAGAAGAAAGAAGATACATTGGAGGCGTTAGCTGTCTTTGCCATGGGGATACCTTTGTTTATTATTGTTAGCATTAGCATGCTAGCGCTATTATTGGTTTGGATGCACATCCGGTAGCTGTAGTAGGTCAACTTTAGCTTTATTGCCAGGTCTGTCGATAGCTGCATGGTTTAGTTTATGTTGTAAAACAAAAAGTCACAAATAAAACAAATGGGTAATGCATAACTCACCGGCATCAAATGAGCTCCGCACATTCAGCGACTTGTCTTGCAACATAATCGACGTGTCCACGGTACGGTAAAAAAACAGCGGTTGCCATCTCTTTCTGCAATTGTTGGAGAATTGCTTTGGACCGCGTGCTCCCCTCCAGCTTCCTCTGTACCTCTTCGGAAGACCAGATTCGCAGTAGGTAGCTGGTCTCTTCAGTGGACCACTGCTGCTTGTTAAGTTTCTCCATCGTCGTGTACAAACTGGATAAAACGCGGGCTTCTTGTTGTTGTTCAGGAGTTGATCCCGCCCCTGCCCCCGCCTCGACGTAAGCGTGACGTATGTGGTGCTTTTGCTCTGGCCAGACAACTTTTTGGTGCTCGAAATTAACCGGATTCCGGAGCTAAGAGGCTGCTCCGTTGCGGTGTGAAGAGGAAAACCCGGTGCTTTTCAAGCTCCAGCTCCGAACCGGCCCTGAAACACCGTTGGTGTGAATGAGGCATTAGAAACCTTATAAACCTATGAGGGCGCTGTAGGGCACAGGTGTGTAATGTACATTAGGCAGCGTCAGGGGGCGCTGCAGCTCCCCTAGGATAGCCATAGCACACCCTAAGCACCCCTAAGAAATGTATGTCTTTTTTTTGTTTTGGGAAATTGATAATTGGAAAAGTGATTGATTCGAAAATAATATGCGAATCAATCACTTTTCAGTACAAGTACGTCTGGGTCTCTGTGTTTCATTCAAGCTCGGCTCTGTGTGTGTGTGGAACGAGCCATTTTGTGTGCGTGAGAGAGAGAGAAAGAGAGCGCACCGGTACCGGAGATTGTTGTTGTTAGCATCTGGTGCTAGCTAGCTACGCTAACGGACATAAGGAGCTTTTTCAACAACAAGGCGGAGGGAGAACTCTCGCCTGTCAGACTGAGAGGCTCAGTGAACTAAAGGACTCTCAGTGTTTAGATAGTTAACTTTAGTCTAAGTTATCTCAGTGGGTCTCAAACGGTTTGGTCGCGATTAATGTAAACAATTATTATATGATCATTATAGGTATAAAAAAATAAGAGAATAAATGAAAAACAGGTAAAACAACAATTGTTTTTTGGAGCACACAGACTTACTGTATGAAGAATTGTTTTATTATCACTGTTCTAGCAAAGTGATTTTTTTAGGAAAGGAATGCTCACGTTCATATTGATGTATTTTAATAAATGTTAACTTGGCCCATTACGTGACTATTTGTGTTGGGGGGGCCCGACTTTTTTTTTTTCTCCAAAGGGGGGGCCTGATGGAAAAAGTTTGAGAACCACTTGGTTAGGGAAAGAAAAATGGTTAACTTATGCCTTCTACAAGCCAGGCGCTCAATTGCTTTGTGTTGGGAAAATGTTGGTTGCCCCTCCCTGGGCCACAGGTTAAACACTTTAACTTTGAGTCTGGCTCTTGAGAAACTCACATATATACTAAGGAAGAAAGCTTCTGAATTTTACACCATTTGGGAATTGTTTTTGGAACTTATAAAAAGTGGGGACATTGCAGAAGCTATGGAAGGTTAAAGTGAACAGACTAAACTACTACTACTACTGAGGACATTTTGAATATGGTTAATCTATTTGGAGAATTGTAAGCTGTACTCTGCTCTGTTTGTGGATCTGCTTTTATTGAATTTTTTTAGAATTGTTTTTAATGTAATTATATTCTTGTTCTGTACTTTAAACTGATTGATGATTCTAGTATCTACACACTTTTTTTTGCATTATTTAGTAAACTGCCATATGTCTAATGTTCTAAAAATAAGAAATACAGCAATGTTCTAATCTATATCTAACCATATTGTGCTTCAATATTGTATTTTCTAAACAGGTTGTGATCTTTCATTTGGGGATAACAATGTTAGGAATATATTGTGATGAAGTGCACACTGACCTGAGCTCCAGGGGTCTTTTTGTTCTCCTCCATGCTGCTCTCAGTGCTCCTTCTCCGGCTGCGTCTCTGTAATAATCAACACAACTACAGCTGACACAAAACAAGACAACTCAATACAACCGACAGACACAACAAAACAAATCTACAGCCACTTCGTAGGTTCATAGCAGAGGTGAGAAGTAACTAAGTACATGTATTCAAGTACTGTACTTCAAGGGGACCGATCATGCAAAATGCACTTTTGTACGTCTTTTATACATGAATATGTGTCCCCGGTGTGTCGGGGAACTCACCAAGTGTCAGAAAACACAACCCTCTCTCTTTTCCTCCATACCCAAATCTCTAAAAACGGGGCTGCAACGGAGCTGATACAGATCAGAATTTCTCTGATATCAGAATTAGGGGTGCTCCGCCTATATGGCCATTGCCCAACCTCTCATTCGCATATAGGCTGTCGGCAGGCTAAATCTCCCCTGTGTTTTTGCCTGCTCTTGCCAGGATGTCTAAGGGAGTTAAACGTTATATATATTAGAGCTGTCAGTCGATTAAAATATTTAATCGCATGATTGTCCATGGTTAATCGCGATTAATCGCACATTAATCGCACATTTTCAATCTGTTCTAAATGTACCTTAGAGGAATATTCTTCAAGTTTTTAATACTCTTATCAACATATGAGTGGACAAATATGCTTTATGTTAATGTTTATTATCATTTGAACAATGACAAATATTCTCATGAATATTAAACACAACAACCTCTGAACATTACAAATATTCGCCTCAATTCCACCTGGAACCTCTCTCATACAATAATACAATACAAATGGTGTGTGTGTGTGTGTGTGTGTGTGTGTGTGTGTGTGTGTGTGTGTGTGTGTGTGTGTGTGTGTGTGTGTGTGTTGGAGCTATGTGCAACTCAAGGCATATGCTCGAACGGGAGCTGCAATCATGTTGCGCACTATCCGTGCTGAGTGTGCTGACTTTTCGTACAATGTCCCACTGTCTGGCTTCTTGCATAAAGTCAAGTGCTCGGCGCAGTTGTGGCGAAATGTCGCTCCTCTGTTTTCATTTAAACAGCTCCATATCCGTTAGCGCAGCTAGCTAGCACCAGATGCTAACAACAACAATGCACTCTCTCGCTCGGGCCACACATACACACACCCTCCCGGTCCTCCCAACAGCCAGTCGGTGCCTGCGGGTGAGCGTGGAAGTGTGGTCTGCCACAAGCGGGCGGCAGGAGCGGGGCTGTCAGCATCAGCTTGTAGATGGTATTTTAAACTCGATGCGCTCTGAAACTACGGGGCGGCCGAGGAAAAAAAAAGACACATGCGTTAATCGCGTTAAAATAATTAGTGGCGTTCATCTTTTTTTTGTTAATAACGCGTTAACTTGACAGCCCTAATATATAAATACATTCACATATATATATATATATACACACATACATATATACACAGTGCAATAATTATTTCATGCTAAATGAAGCTCTGTTGCTTGGATATCACTAGATCCTGTTACAGCGTAATATAAAAGTACATAACGATTTATGTGTAAATTAGCATAATTACTAGCTAGCCACTAGCTGCCAACTGCCGCCTCGTTAATATCAAATCCATCATAATAACAATCCAGTACCATGCTGTCATGAACGCACGGTGCTGTTACGTGTACGCAAATTGACGTGCTTCATGTGAACGAGCATTTTTGGGGGCATGGTTAAAGTTGCGCATGCGCTATGAGCGCACATACGGTTACTTCTCAGGCATGTCGGGTAATCTGTGACGTTTCGCTCTCTCAAAAGTTGGGCCATTTCATCCATAGACATATAAAGAGTAGACGCTGCATCGACCGCTACTGCCTATTGGCGCTGACGAGCCGTGGGGCCTCCATCTTGGACCGGTCACCCGCTCCACTCAGTGTAATCTGTCTGGCAGGCGCATTTGTGTGTGTGTGTATGTATGTATGTATGTGTGTGTGTGTGTGTGTGTGTTTGTGTGTGTTTGTGTGTGTTTGTGTGTGTTTGTGTGTGTCAGGAATGCATGTTCAACATGTCTTCAATTGTGTGTGTATGGGTTTATTTGTGAGTGTGTTTAATATGAGTGGCAGCAAACAAGAGAGATTTTACTTTGTCTAGGACAGTGCTTCTCAAAGTGTGGTCCGCGGACCACTGGTGGTCCGTGAGCGCCCCCTAGTGGTCCGTGAGTATATTGGTAAAATTTCACATTTGAAATAAATAAATACATTTAAGTTTTCCGCACTCTCGCGGGAATATTTCCGCAATGGAGCAGTGGCGAGCCGTGAGGGCCTAAGATATTCTAAAAAATAATATTTGAAAACATTAATAAAAAAAAACCTTTTTTTTTAAATATATTTTTTTATATTTTTTTGTTGTTACATTTTTCATTAGTTTTACCAAAATAACTTTATTTAATTGTATTTAAAATAATATTTCCAAAGAAATAAATCCTTCGAATCTGCCTGTTCAGTTTCTGTTAGAATGTGAAGGGTTAAATGCCGTCTCTGCGAGTTATGTGAAGAATGGAGAGCTTGTTGGTCCCTCTCTACATTCACAGAGGGCCCGCTATAGTAACTCAATGAGAGAGTAATGTCAAATGACAGTACAATTGACCAATCACATCTTCCCTCTAAATGGGCGGGCATTATTTTCGCGGACTTTATGACAAGTTCCGCCCGCTGTGAGGTCTATGCAAGTGGTGCGTCCTAAAACCCGGAAGTAAGCTTCGCTCGGATTCCCTCGACAGAAAACAATGGGATTTCTCCATAGGATTTTGGAAAATAGCTCGAAATAAGGTCTGTGGAAAACAAACATGTTAGATAAATGCATGTTTTGTTCAGCCGGATAATATCCACATGTCTACCCTACTTTTATTATTTTCGAATCATAAATCTAATCGATAGATTTATGATGGATAGATTTATGATTGATAGATTTATAATTAGCATAAGTTTGTTCATGATTGCTCACTTCAGTGATAGTGATGACATCGTTGCGAAATTATTAACCGAGTCATTTTCAAGATTGAGTTACAATGATAAACTGGAGTGGCAAAGGAACAGCTGCATGACCCCGCCATGAAGTGCTTCATCCAAAAGGACAGGAGGATGGACTTTGTGTTTAAGTGATTTGATCATCAAAGGTAGGCCTAAGTCATTTTCAATGTGGGCCGCCGTGCCGACTTAATTCATTTGTAATTGTTACTTGGCTGTGGGTGCCCTGTCATGATAGGTGTTTATATAAATGGTGTTGTTTTGTGTGGTAGAGGGTCGCTGTCATTGATGTGTTTTTCACCCCGGGCCGCTGTTTTGATATTCCGCAGAAGTATACGCTGTGACGTGATCTTCTTTTGTTTCGAGGGAAGGGGGGTCAGAGGGCCTAGGTATAAAAGTCACGGCTCGCCACTGCAATGGAGTGAGCTTAAGTTTCACTTTTGATTGCATGATATAGCCCAGATAAACACCTTCATCACACATGTGGCCACTTGTTTGTACCATTTTCAGGCGATTTGTAAAAAACGATGTGTATTTGGATATTTGTGGAGTAGGTGGTCCGCGACAGGGTTTCCGCTAGGATTTTTTCTCGCCGGTCAAATGTCCGGGCAGAATTAATTTTATCGGACAAATTTGAAACTTACCGGTCATATTTCAATAATAATAATAAGAGTTGTGTAGCAGAGTTTCCGTTAGCAGGTAATTACCGGACTATGAGCAGATATGCTTCAGTTTAAAACTCAGTTAATGGGGCTCATTTTTATATTGCTTCAGTTTATAATCGTTACAGATCGAAAAATTCAGATTCATTTTCCAATAAATGATTCCACAAACAACAAACAACATAATTATTACATTCAAACAAACTACTTGTAGTAGATGAAGTACATTATTCAAAAGTTTACATTAACTTTGAATAATAACACGGGAGAAACGGATGCTCTCTTTTCCTCTCTCCCTCCCTCTCTCTCCTGACAGCCCGTCAGTTTCTCATGCAGCTCCTGCAGCTCGCTAAACAGAGGCGGGGCTTCAGGTGATTATGCAGAGCTACATGTCTCTGTCAGACTCAGCAGCTGATCTGATCTCTCTCTCGTGTCCGGTTACACTTCACTCGCGTTTATGTCCATATCGATCAGATCCAGCTCTCCTGATCGTCCTTTATATAGAGCACCGATCAAACTATTAAGAGTGAATATTGGCCGATAATGACCGGCGGCCGATCTATCGGAGCCTCCCTAATTATTACCAGACATTTTGACCGGCAGGTTTTGAATTTACCGGTTTTTAATAAATGTTACCAGCTAAAAACCGGTAATTACCGGCTAACGGAAACCCTGGTCCGCGAGTGTTTTTTTATTGGTTAAGTGGTCCTTGGTATGAAAAAGTTTGAGAAACACTGGTCTAGGACCATTATGATATGATGTTGAAAATAGAAATACTCACATCATTAGGCTGAGGTTGTGAGTGTGAGGTTGAAGCTTCTGGGTCGTCCTGAGGGGCCACAGACAGGCTCTCTTCAGCTTTTCTGGAAGTAGACATAGTCCTGCCCTTTTCCGGCTAAAATGAAGAAGCATAATACTTGAAAAGAATATATATATATATATATACACACACATACATACATACATACACAGGAATCACAGAGAATCGCGTTTTTCTGGAGGGTCTACTTATGATGATACACCTACTCTTTGGAGGTGAACCGAGAAGCTGAAGATGGAGGGAATAACACCATCTCTGAGTCGGACAATCTGTCCTGTCCTGTCAAACTCGTCCTGCTTAAAATGCTCACTGCAAATCACGGATGACTCGCTTGCAGTGAACCCTTCCCTCCTCAAAGCAACTTCCCACTTCTTCCTCATATCTTTGTCTTTGGGAAACCTTCAAAATAAAAACGGGAGATTTGAGAGAGTCAACACAAAAAAATGTTAAGAAGGAGGTCAAGCTTATTTTCTGCCTTCTTCTTCCTAGATAGATTAGATTAGATTTTACTTTATTCATCCTACAACGGTGAAATTCACTTGTTCCAGCAGCATATGATTTATAAAGTCTCAGTTGGCCATAAACATAATGTTTGCTGGCTACGATTTCGCTGGCGGACATCAATACAGTACAATAATATTCTATTTACAAAATACAACCAATAATAATGTTGAATCTTACTTGTGAAAAGTAATCCCCCGACCCCTGTTCGCAATCGTCCGCCGATTTGCACAGCAATACGCCGCACAGTGCTCTGGCATCTTGAAACCTCTGCTGTCTATGGGTAGAATGTCTGTACAATATGGGTAGGATGACCAGTCCAAGATAATGTCCGTATTTCTCTATGATCATCATGCGCCAATGAGCAACTCTCATAGGAATGAATGAATGAGGCCCCGCCTCCCACGCTGTATCCAGTTCTTATTATACATCCATGGTATTTTCAAATTCTAGCGCACTCGAGCTGGTTTCTCCGAAATTACCTACCCCACCTTTAATAGAGGTAGGTGAGGTAAAAGTGAGTTCTGTCAAGGGCCGGCCACTTGAACAGCAGGTCTGTCAACAATATTTCCATGTAATGCTACTTTGTACTTTTACTCCACTACAATTCAGAGGTAAATGGTGCACTTTTACTCCACTACATGTATTGAATACCTTTAGTTACTTTACATATTTGGATCAATTATGTGAAATTCTAATCAATTCTTAAATCAGACTTTAGGTCCACCTGGAGTAAATTCACAAGCTACCCTGCAGTATACAAAGTCATTCAAAAAAACAAAACGCACACACTGAAGGATGTTACCTCTCTCTCTCCTCTTCGTCCTGGTTCTTCAGTCTTTCTTCTCCTTGATAAAACACTGCAGTTAAACACACTAATCTCCCTTGAACGCCTTTAGCCTACTTATGTTTACCGATTAGCAACGTGGTATAAAAAGCTACGAACAAAGAACGGGAGGCAACAAAAAACGGTTTAACGGATAAATCACCCTCCAAGGATAAACTAACTCTTTGTATGTGTTTTAAAAGTCTCTTAAACACATTACATTCGGTTTGAAATCTGCGTCGACGTCTGTTAACAACGTGTAGCTACTGAGGACCGGAAGCTAGAAACGGACCGCCACAATGCATCATGGGATTTTAGTTTTTCTTTTAAACATACATTCACTGCCTCCCTGTGGTGAAAAACGGTATTAAAATAAATATGAATTACAACAATAATAATAATGATAATAATAATAATATACAAATATGGGACTGGTATGGCGGATTTTGAACGTTGGGACAAATGTTTCTGTTTGTGATCATACATGTGTTTCCCATTATATAGGTTTTTATATAATGATTGATATTTAAAGTGTTATCAAAGCTGGTAAAGGTGCAGCTAGTTTTAATGACTTTGTATACTGCAGGGTAGCACACAAAAGTTTTACCTCCGCCCGACGTCACGCCAAATCTGCCCCGAACCACTCAGATAAACTCGTCTGACTGATGAAGACAACCACTCTCTCTGAGCGAGAACAAATTAGGAGAGAATATCTTTGAATGCAAATCAACCCTCCACCGACACTGGGGAAAACACGCCGACATCAAAGGCAGCGGCTGCAGGACTGCAGGAGAAGCAGCAGCTAAATGCTCGTTAGCTTAAATCCTGCAGGGAACCCCACCTCAACACCCTGCACAGACACAGACACATGAATAACACAGAATCACAATGATATTAATTTACTGTGTGAGGTATCATCATCATCGAGAAATATGTGTTTATGTTATGTATTGTCTCTACTTTAAAGAGTCCTCTCCTGCTGATGTTCAGGTGTATATATCAGTATGTAGTGTCTCTACTTTAAAGAGTCCTTGTTAAGAACTCAGGCACTCAGAAGGTAGGACCCAATTGCACGACCCGGGAGACAGAGGTAAAGTATTGGTAAGATACTTTATTTTTCCAAAACACGATGAACAAAAAATGGTCACTAACTAATCTCAGATTGAGATGACAAAAAATTGAGAACAAAATGAAAATCGCTCACGTGGTGAGGAACACAACTTTTCAAGAGCACAGAGAGCATAGACCTGACCATGGCAAGAGACAAGACGAACTGACAAAGAACACATGGGAGACAGGGGAATTTAAACACAGGATAACAAGACACAGGTGGGGACAATCAGGGGCGGGGCTGACGCTGATGAGCACAGGAGACACAGAAGGGAAACAGGTGAACACAATTAGACACACCAGGGAAACTAACGACAGGGAGGAAAACACAGGGCTCTTTCTCATTTCATCAAATCCCCCTCCTCGACTCCTCGGTCCTCCGGTAGTGACCCGGAAATGAATTTTAGCGCGCCATGTTGAAGGACATCTCATTTCTCTAAATGCACTTCGAGGACCGAGGATCGAGCGTCGAGGAGGCTTTCTAGAGGAGCTATAACCGATGATACACTGATGGGTCCTCCACAGTCCTCCACGGCTCATTCGTGGATGCATTTCCGGGAACAGAGATGTTTCAAAGCGTCGTGACGCACGGCCGGATTTATCTCAGCCAATGACAGCTCTGCATGCATCCCCTGGATATTATTTGTATTAACTGCTTTCATCGCAACGCGATGTTTACAGAGAGAACAGCTGTGAGGTCCGTGCAGAAAGCAGAGCAGTGTGTAAAATATATATCACTCAGTATAACAGGCCTACATTACTCTCTTTATTTGCTGTAGTTTAGTCGATAACTAGCCTACAAACAAAGAGTCGATATTTTTCTAAAACCATTTAGTGCTTCACATAATAAAATACACAACGGCTGTAGCCTGATTATATGCTTTAGCAGCTGTAGGTGTGTGTGGTACAGTGTGTAGGTGTGTGTGTTGTACAGTGCGTAGATGCAGCGTCTCAGTTGGTTTGGTGTCCTCTGCTTACTTTTAATACTTGTAAATAAAACTTTTGGCCCGTAATTTATTTCCCTCATTGTAGCGACCAGAGAGGGGGGGCGGTATATATCCAGCAGTCTCTGATAGTGTTACATTATTATGAGAGTGCTCTGTTTGATTCTGAAATTGTATTTATATGTGTGTGTGTGTGTGTGTGTGTGTGTGTGTGTGTGTGTGTGTGTGTGTGTGTGTGTGTGTCCGCATCTGTAGCCTGTTATTGTCTCATTATACCGCACTGTGAATGAATTAAAAGTAAATATATAAGTGGTCATGAACACATCTGTCCATCAGACAGAGGGCTGCTGTGCCTCCTGTCATCATTAATGGACGTCTCTTTAAAATGACCTCTCAGAGGAGAGGAGTTCTCATTTCTCTAACCGCCTGCTGCTTCCCCTCCTCTCTCCTCGGCTCCCCTCCTCGACTCCTCCGTTCGCATCTCCTGTGGGCGGGACTAAGTCTCGAGGATAGAAGTCGAGGAGGGGAGTTAGAGAAATGAGAAAGGGCCAGGGAGAAGGACCAGACAATACACAAGGAGGAAAACATGACAGAGAGAACAGCAAAACACCCGTAACAAGACATCCAAAACTAAAAATGTGACAACACAAGAATCGTGACAGTCCTCTCCTGCTGATGTTCAGGTGTATATCAGTATAGTGTCTCTACTTTAAAGAGTCCTCTCCTGCTGATGTCCAGGTGTATAATGAATACTGATTCTTAAATCATGAGCCGCAGCCCTGCTCTGTTCAGATTTGATTTAGCTATGTTTGATAAGAAGCAGTTGCACACACACTCGGCAGAATCTGCACCTGGCTCGCCGATAATAAATTGTCATTACACCTGGGTAAAACAGAGTCCATTCTCTTCGGTTCAAAACATAATCTCAGCAAATCCGACGACTTCTCAGTTGCAGTGGGCGACATTATTATCACAAGTAAGAAGGAAATTACATACCTAGGATCTATTCTTGAGGCAAACCTCTCCTGTGACAAAATGGCATCCAATGTAATAAAAAAAGTCAATCAAAGAACTAGATTCCTATACCGGATCTCCTCTCTGGTAAACAAAAACACCCTGAAGACTCTGGCAGGAGCACTCATTCAAGGGTACTATGACTATGCTTGCACGTCATGGTACCATAGCACCTCCAAGGCGCTAAAAATAAAACTTCAAACATCGCAAAATAAACTGGTCAGACTACTGCTTGACCTTTCATCTAGAACCCACCTCACCTCTGCCCACTTTGACAACCTAGGATGGCTTAGAGTAGACGACAGAGTACAGCTACTTGCAATGGGCCTGGTCTACAAGATCCACTACACCTCTATGGTACCCATGTACATGTCAAAATTCTTCCCAAAGGTCAAGGAATACCATGATCATAACACCAGAGGGAGCTCCACAAATCATGCGAAACCCAGATTTGGCACAAAAAAGGGGGAATACACGTTTCGCAATTATGCCACATCAAGGTGGAACGCTCTTCCCACAACTGTAAAGGAAAGTAAAACTATACTTACCTTCAAAACCTCTCTTAAAGAGCACCTTCGGGGGAGAGCATTGCAAAACTGGCCCCGGTAATGGTACAAATCTCAACCTGTCGTTCAATGGACAGCTTCCCCCCCCCCCCATCTATGTATATACTCGCATTTTATACTCTGTTACTAACTGTATATCTGTAGACTTGGTATGTCTTAAATGTCCGGTTAGGATGTATTAGAACGAAATCTAAAATGAAAATTGTAAATAAGCCATCTGTATGTAAAAAACCACCTGTATGTAAATTGTAAATAAGCCATCTGTATGTCAAATATGTCTTATATGTCTTATATGACATGATGAATTGGAAATGGGGGACCCTGATGTAAACAAGACGAAAGTCTTTCTCTGGTCTGCATCCCCTTAACAATTGTATGTTTTGAGCTGTACTGTACTGTACCTAATATACAAGCTGTTAATAAACTTTTCAATCAATCAATCACACACGGTTGTATTGCCGCTAACAGTGTGCAGTCTGCAGAGAGTGGAGGTTACATAACAGCTCTTCAAAGATGATTAAAAGAAACTCCAGAGAGGAAGCAGAAACTCTGATACTGAAACCAGACGGGAGCTGGCAGATAATGTGAGATCACAAATACAAAGTCTAATAAATTAATAATATGGGAGATGTACTGTATCTATTTTAGCTCAGAGTTTAATGATCAAACTAACTTCAGTGTTTTAAATAGGATGTAATGTGAAAAAACATAAAACTAACTTCAAGTTAAAAATAATTCAATAATGATACAAAAATAACTTCACTTTTCTGGGATCTAAAATGCCAGAGTAATTATAATTAGAAATTAATGTGACTTCCTCAAATTGCAAATGTCTAGGGTTTCGTATGTTTGCAGGCCAAAACAAAGCAGCATGAAACACAACAAAAGTCATTTTAGCAAATGTAATCTACTTCACTACAATGAACTGGATTCTGATTTTAAAACTATCTACAGTTTGCAAAAGTGTTAACTTTAACGGTTAATGTTGCTGCAGTTTTACAGTAATGGCAGTGTTTTACCTCAGATTCCCGTGTTTTACTTACAGAACCGTTTGCAGTGTTTGCAGAAAGGGCCATGTTGAATTGAAATGTGGGTGCAGAGCTGAAAAAGTGTTTAGAGTTTTGGAGCTATGGTTGTGCTGTTTTGAGTGCCAGTTTAAATAATTGTGCTTTATGAGATATTTAGTTCATCAGCACCTGAAAAAACCCCAGCAGAGGGCACCAAAGCTTTCTTTTCAAGCAACATGAACCAGCTCTGACTGAGAGATTCAAGGCACTCCTTACTGCCTTACTATACTTACAGAGGTGGTGAAGTACTCAGATCTTGTACTTGAGTAAAAGTAGAAGTACTCAGATATTGGGTAACACTTTATTTTTGATAGTCCATAGTTGACACTCTATAAGTCCTCAGTTGACATTCAACAACACTGTTTCAACAGACAAGTAACATGCATGTAACTAACTGCCAGTATAATATAAGGTACATCTCAAGTGTTGATCTATAGATTTTACAAAAAGTGTCTGTTGACTGTCAACATGTTTTTTTGCAACAGCTTATTAACCGATATTCAACCTTACTATCTGTAGATTGCAACGACGTGCAGTCAGGGGAGGCAGGGGAGGCAGAGCCTCACCTGTCATAC